GAGACTCGTGCATATGGAAAGGAAGGCCAAACTCTCAGAAGCTGGCGGGCCCATCTAACAAAGTATGGGTGGGGTGGGTGGGCTGCCTCATTCTTTCAGGGAGTTATGTCAGGGGTATTTCTCTGTGGACCATACAACTAATTTCATTTATTCTAAATCCAGTTTAAGCAAACCTCTGGATAGAATTTGTCTTCTCAAGTACCTTTATTTATAGACAGTGCTTGCCATGACAGCCTGAGTATTATGGTCTGTTGGTCATAATTCAGGTATGTACATCAATCTCTGGGGTCTGTTTAATGTGAGCTTATTTGAGGAATTTCAGATTCTGGGCCTTGATGAATGTTGTGACATTTGTGGTAAATAAGACAACTGGAAAAGGCTTTCCATTCACTCTGTGGACAGTAATGTCAAAAGACACACAAGGTACCCACCCCCTGCAACGTTAGCATTTGCACATGACTGATTACAGGACCCAGTAACCTTAACTGCAGCCCACTAAAATATTTTTTAAAAAGCAACACAATAACATGATACTTAAGAAAACACATTTGGTTTTCATGGTCGTTATTTTTCAAATTCCTGCACCTTATTGATTTTTCTAAAGTATTTTCTAAAGCAGAAATTGAAATTTGAAATTGTTTTGAAATTGTTTCCATTTTTTTTTTAATTATGTCATTCAGCAGCTTCACAGAACCCGAGACTGACAAGGGTTTTCATAACCCAAAATGCAAAAACCAAAAGAACCAGGCACACAGCAGAGGAAGAACATGTGCCCAGAGTGGACCCAGACAGGGAGACCTGGGCTTCATCTTCCCTTCCTCCATGCTCCAAAAGGTCTAAATTTAGTTTACCGTATATACTGCAATGACATTAACATGTTGCAAGAACAAGAACCAAGCCAAAGAGAGAAAAAGAAGCTTAATGTGGTGAGAGATATTTAAATGCCATGGCAACAATGATGTCTTCTCCATTATTTAATTCACTTCCTCAGGTCAGGTTATCCTGCCCTCTCTCTCCTGCACTTCCTGTTGCAGTGATCAAATCAGGTCACCCTGAATCCGTGAGTCCTCCTCACGACTGCAGTCATGTCTATTTCCAGCAGAATGAATTTTCTCCATCTCGTCCTTTGCTCCAGGACCTTTATTTTGCTGCCCTTGATGTTCCCAGTTGCTCTTGGCTGAGCCCCACACGCTGCAAATGCTTCCCTTTCATCCGCACCTCCTCCCCCACACCCTCCCCCAGCGCTGCTCTCTGCCCCTCCCCCCAGCCTCTGCAGTTGTCACTAACACAGTTAGCCACTTGATTAGCAACTCAGTGATTCAGAAGCCAAGAACCTTAGCTCTCCGCAAAGGCCCCCGCTTCTCTTTCCAGAGTCAGATCAAGTCCATCAGCCCCAGATCTCTGTACCATTCAGTATAGATGACTGGGGGCCTTGGCTATTCCATTTGCCAAGTTTACCCCCCGCTTCTTTCCTTTTCTTTTCCTGTGTGTGTCCCTGGAGTTCTTCATGCTCTACTTAACTTTTCCCCAGGAAAGGTGGACAGAGAAGGTTTGAGCTTAGTATTTGGGTGGACAACCAAACTCCTCGTTTACAGATGGGAAAACCAAGGTCCAGAGAGTTGAACTGAGCAGCTGCATGGCTAGTCCTTGGAGGAACCAAAACAAGTGGGATGAAAACTCAAGTACAGTGGCAGATTTGGTGGGGAAAAAAATCTTATTAAGGGGTGAGCAGTGCCAAGACAAGACTTGGTGATTATCTAAGAGTTCCTCCACTCATTCCGCTCTTGTCTCCCAGCCTGCAGAGCTAGCAAAAGATCAAAGCAGAACATGCATACCAGTCATAGATCCACCAGGACACCTGGAGAGGCTCCGCCTCCGAGGAGCCTGGAGACCCTGAAGACCGCCTGCGCCCCTCCAGCCCGGTCAGCGGGACAAGACGAGGGCTCAGAGACAGCCAGGCTAATGATCCACTCGAGTCCCACATGCACTAGGCTTTTCACTATTAGCCAGCACGCACTGTGGTAAATTGACAGAAAATTTCCCCCTCAGTGTAGGACGATGCATGAAATACACGATCCCTGTGAAAAGATATTTATTGCAAAAGTTATATCAGTCTTGTAAGAAAGCACCAGCCTTCTCTGGGGAAAGGCATGGGTGGGAAAAATGAATAAAATAACTCAGTATTTTGACTGTTTGCTGCAGTGGAAGAGGGACTTCTGTTTCTCAAGCTGAGTGGGAAGAGAGGGATTTATCCCTGGATGCCTAGGAACAAGGCAGAGTAGCGTAGAAAAGTCACTCCTCGGTGTGAGCCTGGAAGCAAGTCCCCACCCCTACCCCCAGGCCGCGTCGAGGGTTGTTCTGAGCCCCCCCACTCCTGCCTGTTCAGGCCTGTTCCGGCGCACTGGGATCTGCTGAGTTAGGCACCGAGCCTGGCTGCCGCCGCAGCCGCCCAGCACTGTGATTAAGAGCTCAGTGATTGATTTTCTAGCCCATGACCACATTGGTGGGGACAGCGTATGGCAGAGGAGGCTGGCAGGAAGCCAAGTGGAAAGAGGGTTTATGAAATGAGCTCTCAATGAAGAAAACTGTGGGAAAGAATGCGATGGAAGCAGATCTGGGGCCAGTAGATGTGGGAAAGTATAACAACTCAAACATGCTCTTCAAACTCGAACTAACAACACAGCATTTTGCCAAGCACAGGAAGGGGATCTGGTGTGTGAGAAAGGCTCAGCACTGTTTATATAAAACAGACTATTCCTCTCTGCACAGCCATCACGGACAAGGCTTAACCTTCCTTCTGTACTGGGCACTCTGCTGGGTTCTGAGGCTAGAAAGAAGAATCAGTCAGTCCAGAGAAGGGGATTGAAAACACACAGAATGATGTGTTAAAAATGCAAATGGCTCTTAAGGGAGTCATCAAAACATTTTGCCTAAACTTTGGGCCCAGAGCCAGCAGGCAGGAGTGGGGCAGGGAGGGCCTGGGACTGTGCCCTGGTGCTGCCTGCCTTCTGTGCAAACCTAAGGAAGGTTCTAGCAGGAAGACCCTGGTTGCTTCCCGCCCCACCTCCACCCCCTTTACCTCCAGAGGAGGTCTGCTGAAGTGATGCGGGCTGGGAAAACCTCCCATCACCAAGGGGCAGTTAGACATCCTCCTTATAAGCCTAAAGTTGTGGACACTTGTGACATGATTCCTTTCCCTCCCCCCACACACCCCCACCCACCTTGAATTTGGGTCTTGGTTTACTCCACATGTATGTTTTGAGGGAAGATTTCTTTCAACCTACTGTGCCCCTGTTTCAACACGCTTTGAGTAAAGAAATAAATTATTTGTGTTTCCTTTAGCTTACAGCATTTTTTTTTTTTTGCCCTGGAAAATAAACTGAAAACTGAAGAAGATGAGTATCGGTGTGTTTCTGTGCATCAGTGTAATATGTAAGAGAGGAGATGATATGTTTTAAAAGGGGAAACTAGTGCTTGACCAAGGTCAGTACCTGATGGTGTTTTTTTTTTTTTAATATCAGAAATAAAATCCTATTTCTGCAGTTCATGTCTGAAAATGGTGTAATCCAAAGCGGCTCTTTCATCTTCCACTGCAGGAACCCGATCGTTTTGTAGCTTTGGAGCCCAGGTGTCTGCCCTGGAGGACTTTAAGGAGGTTATATTTAAGCCAGAAGACTTTAGAAAAATATAGACTAAGCTGGAGGACCTCTGAGCAGTCTAGCCTGAGCTGGCAGGCCAGATACCTGTGTAGCCTAAGCCTCTTATCTCCTAGGGGAGGAATTCAAGCTGTGAAAAGGTGGCCTGCCCAGGCCCTTCTGCAGGTGAGCATCACCAGGACACAACCTTCTCAACCCCTGGTTCAGGGGCCTTCCCTCTCTCAGTCAAAACGTACTGAAACTTCTGGCAGCGCTGAGACAAATTCCCTAACACTGTGCTCTTTTTCACAGAATAAAAACTGAATTTAAGAAGAAACTCAGTACTCGATTAAAAAAAAAAAAACCAACAACTGGCATTTAAGCACAAAGCCCCAAAGCAAGGCGTGGTCTCCCGGGTACTGGAAGTCCTCCGAAATCCGCAAAGTCTCACTCGTGGTTCAGAAAACAAAGCAGAACAACTTTCTCTGCTCCCTTCTCTCCTCTCCTCTCCTCTCCCCACCCTCACCCGCTCCGTGCAGTAGCTGTTCTTGGCAGATGCCCAAAGCGGCACCCGGTAATTCCACGGTACATTGTGTACATTTGCATCCATTTAACCAGCTATTTACAGCCGCCCTTTACCGCCACCTGTAAGAGGCGACGCCGTGGTGACAAAGTGACGGGGCCGGGAAGCGGGGCCCCGCGATGTTCCACACTTCCAGAGCAGGAATCCGTGAAGGGCTGGCACTTGGAGAAACCAGGGGACGGCGGGGGACATCGCACGCAGTGGGCGGGAGGCGCGAGGGGGAGGCGCGCCAGACGGAGGGTCCTTCCTCGGGGGCTCCACCCGCTGGTTCCTTCTCCGTTACCACCGCCGCGAGGAGGGACCTGCCGGGCCTTCCGCGCGGCTTATTTCCTGTCTGATAACGAGCCCGCTGCCATTTGGATCTGCTGAAGCTCTGAATCACTCGAGACGAGACGCCTGATGGTCCCGAGGAGGGTGGGGACGCAGCGCGCTAGGGTGGGAGCCGCAGTCCGGCGGCATCCGGGCGGGCTGTCACCCCCGGGCGCCTGGGAAACCTGCTCGCGGATGTGATGCGGCGGCGCGGGGACACCTGCGCTCCCGTGCGTGCCGCACCCGTGCAGCTCCGGGTGGCAAACGGGATGAGTGGGGGCGAGGCCGAGAGGAAGTTGAGGCGCTGGAGTCTCAGGAAGGCTGCCTTAGCTTGCCCGGCTCTTTGGAGGCCGTCCCGAGGAGCCGGGGCGGGGAGGGAAGGGGTGCGGCGGCTGGCGGGCACTGAACGCGGACTTCCAAGTGGTCCCTGGCATAGTTGGAGGTCGAGCGTTCTGAGCCCTCCCCACCCCCAGGGGTGGCTACCCGGAGGTCCCAAGTGCCGCGAGGAGCGCACCCAGCCTCGCAGAAGCAAAAGCTGAACCCGTGCTGGGCCGGGGGGCTGGCGGGGTGGGGCGCCGAGCCGGCGCGGACCGGGAGCGCCTTTCGTTTTAAGGAGCCTTACTTCTGGGAAGGGACAGGCAACTGTCAATCAGCGAGGGAGGGAGCGCACCGGCGCCGGGTGATGTCAGCGGATCAGCTGCTCGATAACAAAGAGGGGGTATTACAGGAGAAAGTTGCAGCGGCGGCGGCCACGGCGGCACCCCGCAGCCTGGCAGGCAAGGGGGCAAGTGGGCGCAGGGAGGAGGGGCGGCGGCTGCCGGGGCAGCTTAAGGCCAAGGAATTGAAAGGGCTGTAGGGGGAGGCAGTGCGAGCCAGCCTCGACTGCTCCTCCTCTTCCTCCTCCTCCAAACTCGCTGGGCTCAGCCCCAGCGCTCGCTCAGCCGCCGGGAGCACCCAGAGGGACGCGAGGCAGCCGCGCGGCCCCGAGCTGGGCAGGGTCCCCAGCCGCCATGGATAGCGACGATGAGATGGTGGAGGAAGCGGTGGAAGGTACTAGCATCTCTGTGGGGCCCCGGGAGGAGGCGCCGGAGGGGGCACGGGACGCGGAAGGAGTGGCGGGCTGCGACCGGCGCGGCTCCGGGCCCCCAGCGGCCGCCACTGTCCCCTACGCGGGTAGCCGGGTTCGCGCAGGGGCCGGACAGCCACGGCCACGCCACCGGGAGCGCGCGCTGAGCGGCGGGGCGCAGGCCGGGAAAGGGGCTCAGCTGGGCCGGGGTCCCCGGGGGGGTCAGGAGAGGGGCACGGCTGCTCCATCCTGCCCGGCCACCGCCTGCATCCGCCCTCGGAGTTGCAAAACCTTCCCCGCACTCCGGCCTTCCCCCTTTCGGGGATGGGAGATGGAGGTGCGCAGGAGGTCAGCACCCCCCCACCCCCACCCAAGCCGCCGCTGGCGATCTCGATGGAGCAATCCCGAGCACCTCTCCCAGCGCCAGCCCTTTCGTTCGGCTTGCCGCTGCGACCCGCGGTGACCGCGGCCGGATCCGTCCCCGAGCGCAGCGCACGGGGCTGGACCAGGCACGTGGCAGCCGCGGCTCGGGCGGTCGCTCCTCCAAAAAGATGAAATCATTGCAGGGCCGGGGACAAGGCTCCCGAGCCGGGACTTGAACGCACGCCGACCTGGCCTCCGCTGCCCCGGAGCGCACTCGGCCAAGCCGCCCCTCCCCCTTCCTGCTTCCCCGGCGGGTGCCGCCGCCGCCACGCTGTGCTGGCGCGCCGCAAGCCCGGACCCAAATTGCTGGGTGACACTTAACTTTCTGAATTCCATGCAGTTGGCTGTGGGTGATATCACCGCCTCTGTCGTGTTTCTCCGCCCCTTCGCTTCCAGCGCCCCTCCCCCGACTTTTCTCGCCACTTTGTTTTGCTGAGTTTCTCCACCTCTTTTTTTTTTTTTTTTTTTTTTGGCTAGTTCTAAAAAAACGAGGTGGGGATGTTATACAATCTAGTTGTTTGTATCATGAGACGTTATGATTTTGTAACAGTGAATACTGGAAAATACACTTTAGCGTTATTTATTTGATTCTACCCTAGACGGTACGTCGTGATGTTTTGCAGTGTTGCGTGGTATTATTCCAGAATATTTTAACCAAACAGCTAAGTAAACATTTTTTAGCTTTTGGTTGAATCTGCTTCCTTTCTAATTTGTATAACAAGTTCTTAGAAATGGTAAAGAAAGACAAAGTGACAAGGCTTACAGATGCATGAGAATGCAGTTACTGCTACTTTGGGAGGAAAAAAAATTAATTTTTATATCAACGTAATTGACTCCGTTTGCAGTGCTCCCAAGGTCTTAGGGAGAGATTAAGTTGAATAATATTTTTGAATTCTCTAAAAGCTGTCTTCATGTAACTGTTGAAACTTCTTATTTCTCTATGGAGCTTCAAGGAGTGTTGGTTTTGCTTTAAATTCGCAATGCCCTGAACTATTTCTCTGTAATGAATAAAGCCAATGCTGGGACTTCCTGGGGCCCAAAGACGTTGATTGGTAGTCTTATGTAAATTTAAATTATTGGCTAGGTGTGTCTTCATGTTATGAAAGATAATTGAAAAAGGCTACTCTCAAATTGTTAGGACTTGGTCTCATTCTTCAAAGTTTACTTTGACTTGTAAACATAATGCAAACCCTTGATCACAGGCAGTGCTCCCAAGGTTAAACCACCTTACCCTTTGAAGCTGTTTGGAAACCTAAGGCCCAGTTGTCCACAGTCCCAGGCTGCTTGCAGAATGTGAGCAAGCAGCTTTAGAAATACATCGATGCTTTTGAGATTGTTCAATGGGTGGAAGCAGAGAAACTTCTTTATATAAGCAAGGAAGTTTCTGTGATATAGAGTGTGAGGGTATGTTCATATACATTATTGTCCAAAGTCAGAATATACTTGAGAAGGGTCACTATTTAATACTTACGCTGGCACAACTGGCTCAAACCTTGAATGTCTGGAGCAATCCAGGTCACATGGTTACTCAGTCATACCAACAGTAAACAAAGTAACACAGAGTCTTCAAGTCCTTAGAGGCACACACAGCTCAGACTCACAGTGTCTAGAGCATGCATGTGTAAAAGCAGGCTTTTTCCCAGCCATTCTTGGCCTTTTAAAGTGCTGTCTGTAAGAGTGTCAACATCTAACACATGCCTGGGGGACTGGTAAAAGGCTAGTCTGAGTATCTTGCTGTTGAAGTACCAGCTAACCTACCTCTGTCCCTATGCAGAGCCTGTGCTCTCTGTAGTTTCATTGTCTTAGCTATCATTATTGCTGTAATTATTTAGTTCTTACTACGTGCAGACTCTGTGCTAAGTGTTTCACACACACATTATCCATTCAATCTCATGATGTCGATACTCATATTATCCTAATTTTCCAGAGGAGGAAACCGAGGCTTAGAGAAGTTAAGAACTGATCCAAGGACCCTCAGCGATGCAGGGGACAGGCTTGGACCCCAGAACCCTGCTCCACCATACTACGTTATCTCCCTGTGTGTGTGTGTGTGTGTGTGTGTGTGTGTGTGTGTGTGTTAATTGCTCAGTCATGTCTGACTCTTGGCAACCCCACGGACTGTAGCCTGCCAGGCTACTCTGTCCATGGAATTCTCCAGGCAAGAATACTGGAGTGGATTGCCATTCGCTTCTCCAGATAGTCTCCCTACACCCTTATTTTTTATTTCTTAATGAGCCAGTCACATGTAGGAAACAGTTGGTAGCTGAGTTTGAAAGCAACAGTTATCAGTGTCACTCTTTAGAGGCTGGTTCTGAAAAAGTTCAGTGACTTTCAGAAAAAAATATATTTCTGATAGCCTCTGCTACAGACATCCTTTTTCTTCCTCCTTAGAAATTTACTCTGGGGAAGAAACTGGTCTCTTCAGGACTTAAGTTCAGTGTTGATTGTCACATCATGTATCTTTTGGTTACCTCTCTGTTAGGGTGGAACTGTAGCTTGATTGGAGTTCTAAGCCCTGGCAGAGGAATCCCTGAGGGCAGGTGGGTGGAGGAGAGGGAGTTTCTGTTTATGATGTTGGCTCTGCTTCCTTGGGAAGGCAGCCCTGGGCCTCAGCGGGCCTGCAAACATTGCCTGAGCTCCCACTGTGGTTTTTATTCTTTTATATTATTATTATTTTAAAGGTTTTCTTGGCTGCATTGCACAGCATGCGGGATCTTAGTTCCTACAAGGGATCAAACCCATGCCCTTGGCATTGGAAGCGCAGAGTCTCAACCACTGGACATCTAAGGAAGTCTGCTTGCTGTGGCTTTTTTTCTTTGAGGCTCATTGGTGCAGCAAAGGGTGATGTTTAGCTTTGGGAATAGAATTTTTTATTACATCTATTTCTTTGCCTACCAGTAGACACAAAGATGAATACAAGGTGGTCCCTAATATAATTTGAAATAAATATATCATATCTAATCAGATGAGTGATGGTGGTTGAGAGGAAATGAAAATTGCATACAGCTTGTGGAAGTAGTTGGGGAAGGAATTCCCCGAAGAGTTGGCATGAAATTGAGTCCAGTTGAGAGAGGCACTTTGCAAGTAAAGAGAGGTGTGGAATGAAGCAACAATTCACAGGAAAAAAAGAAAACAAATGGCCAACAAGCATTCGAAAAGAAACAACTTCACTAAATAAATACAAATGCAAATGCTGAGATAAAGGTTTTCTCTAGTTAGGTTGGCAAAATTCAATAAGACTAATATCATCCTGCAAAGAAGGGGACACTCTTATGTATGATTCACTAGCATCATCAAGAAATTTCAGCTAATGAAATATTAACCCAGGTGCACCAAAACATAAAAAAAAGAAAAAAAAAGGAGAGGGGGAGAGTGGAATTATTTCAGGCGCATTCAGAGATGAACTGCTGGCTTTTACTATAACAGAGGGTCGAGGAGGAGAAAAGTGGAGGGTGATACAGGGAAGGGAGTCTTGTCCCAGGCCCAGACCGTGAACCATGTCCTAGAGGCTCTGTAGAGCTCAGAACGGAAGGTTGGGGGCTCTGTTCTGGGAGGATGAACAGGCGGTGGGGAGCAAGGGAAGCCATCATCTAAAAGGCTCTTTGAAGTAGCAGTTATGAGGGCAGGAAAAATCAGACAGGCCTGGATACATAAAGGCGACAGGGAGGAAGAAGAAAAGGAGAAAGAGCAGCATCGCTAGAACGAAGAAGCCAGAATGAAAACAAGAATCTCCATGTTTCACTGCCCCAGTCCCCTCAGATTGTAAGAGGATTTTTTTGCCCTTAAGATATTTATTTATTTTTAATTGATTGATGATTGCCTTACAATATTGGTTTGATTTCTGCCATACATCAAAGTGAATTAGCCACAGGTGTACATATACCCCCCCTTAAAACCTCCCTCCCACCCCCCACCCTTTCTTACCGCTCTAGGTCATGACAGAGCCCAGGCTTGAGTTCCCCGAGTGATACAAGGAATTTCCATTTGCTCTCTGTCTTACATGTGTACATGTATATGCTTCCACACTGTGTGTGTGCGCTTAGTCACTCAGTCCTGTCTGATTGATTTTGACCTCATGGACTTGTAGCCCGCCAGGCTCCTCTGTCCATGGAATTCTCCAGGCAAGAATACTGCCGTGGGTTGCCATGCCCTCTTTCAGGGGATCTTCCTGATCCAGGGATTGAACCCAAGTCTTCCACATTGCTGGTGGATTCTTTACCATCTGAGCCACCATGGGAAGCTGCATGCTTCCATGCTACTCTCTCTCAAGTATTAAGAGTATTTTTAACTGTCCTCCTAATCACTTATCCTACCTGTCTGTAATAAGACTACTGATGTTCTGGACTTAGGAAAAATACAGGCGAGGTGTTCCGGTAACACCCTTTGTATGTGGGCCTCACATTAAAACTATGACCCTCACAACTAATAACGGAGCTCTTGCAAAGGATGACTTTCAAAAATCAGATTGTGTTTTTAACCACAAGCATAAGTGCTTCATCATGAAGGCACATTCTTGCACTAAACAGAATAAGTTTGCCTTTTTTTATTATTATTACCTTTTTAAAAATAATTCTGTTCTACAAAACTCAACAATGCGTGTAAAGGTCTCTGGTTCTGAGAGGAACCCCCCCCCCCCCACCCCACACACACACGCTCCGATCTCCTGTGAGTAAGCCTGAGGCTGTAAGCAGCAGAGTGTCTGATCCAGAGGGAATTTCCTCTGCTGAGAGGAACCATCACTGCACAGAATACAGCCCTCGCTCTCATCAGATTCAGGAAAAAAAACTGAGGGAATCCAAGGGGAAAAAAATTGAACTTTCTGTCTGTTCAGTAGATAATGATCTTGAGAACAAAGTGAAAAAGTAGATTTGTGAGACAGTTCCTTTTTTTCCCCTTTCTCTGACTTCTGTCAATATTTGAAAACCGTGCTGCAGACAGGTATATACACAAGGGCTGCTCTCCCAACACACGACCATCATTCGAGCAGCTTTTCCTTGTTTGGGTCTGGCACTCAACCTCTGCTGAGTGGGAACTGGCCTGGAAGGCTGTTGGCTGACTTGGCACATTGCGCAGACTGACCTCGATCCGAGCAGGCAGGACTAGTGTTGCTCTTTGTGTTGGGTAACACGTGGAGGAGACAGGCACTTGCCGTCAGAATATGCTGGTGCTGTGAGAGCTATCTTAACTGTGAAGGCCCCTTCCATTTCTCTTTCTGGGACCTGAGATCCCCTCTCTTTAGAGGTCGCTTCTGCCATCGGCAGGAAAGAAAGGATACCCTGCCAGTTTGCTTTTATCCCAGGATTGAAAGAGTAGGGGAAAGGGTTCTTCGCATCCATTAGCTCATTCAGTTCAGTTCAGTTCAGCCGCTCAGTCATGTCCAACTCTTTGTGACCCCATGAACCGCAGCACGCCGGGCCTCCCTGTCCATCACCAACTCCTGGAGTCCACCCAAACCCATGTCCATTGAGTTGGTGATGCCATCCAACCATTTCATCCTCTGTCATCCCCTTCTCCTCCTGCCTTCAATCTTTCCCAGCATCAGGGTCTTTTCAGATGAGTCAGCTCTTCGCATCAAGTGGCCAAAGTATTGGAGTTTCAGCTTCAACATCAGTCCTTCCAGTGAACACCCAGGACCAATCTCCCCTAGGATGGACTGGTTGGATCTCCTTGCAGTCCCGGGGACTCTCAGAGTCTTCTCCAACACCACAGTTCAAAAGCATCAATTCTTCTGTGCTCAGCTTTCTTTACAGTCCAACTCTCACATCCATACATGACTACTGGAAAAACCATAGCCTTGACTAGATGGACCTTTGTTGACCAAGTAATGTCTCTGCTTTTCAATATGCTGTCTAGGTTGGTCATAACTTTTTTTCCAAGGAGTAAGCATCTTTTAATTTCATGGCTGCAATCACCATCTGCAGTGATTTTGAAGCCCAGAAAAATAAAGTCAGCCACTGTTTGCAGTTTCCCCATCTATTTGCCGTGAAGTGATGGGACCAGATGCCATGATCTTAGTTTTCTGAATGTTGGGCTTTAAACCAACTTTTTCACTCTCCTCTTTCACTTTCATCAAGAGGCTCTTTAGTTCTTCACTTTCTGCCATAAGGGTGGTGTCATCTGCATATCTGAGGTTATTGATATTTCTCCCAGCAACCTTGATTCCAGCTTGGGCTTCCTCCAGCCCAGTGTTTCTCATGATGTACTCTGCATATAAGTTAAATAAGCAGGGTGACAATATACAGCCTTGATGTACTCCTTTTCCTATTTGGAACCAGTCTGTTGTTCCATGTCCAGTTCTAACTGTTGCTTCCTGACCTGCATACATAGCTCATTCAGGGTAGCTGTTAATGTGCTTCTTGGGCAATAGGGATGACTTTCTCATCTATAAGACTGGAATTTGAGGGATGACTGTGAGGTTTAATTTAGATAATAGGAAATTGCATAACTCAATGCCTGATGCCTGATGGAAAACATATACAGGTGTTTTTTTCTTCTCTGTGTTTCAGTCTCCCTCTCCATTAAACTGACTTACTGGCAAGATAAATATCACATGATCTTATTGTCCAAATGGCTTTGGAACAAGAGTTGCACCAGAAGCTCTTGTACCACTAGCTGGTAGGAGATGTGAGGTCATAGCAACCCAGTCTCTTCTTTTCCTGACATTTCTTTTCTTGGAAAGTCTCTTAGTTGTTATTGTTTTGGTTGTGGGTGTTGTTTTAAACATAAACTTCTGCTACCAGAAACACCACCCCAGGCTATTAAATATTCAGGATGGGAGTCTTGAATGATCATAAGCCTTAGTAACTTTTAGCTCCTTTTTCATTGATCCTGGTCATTGATCACATCTGGTCATTGATCACATCTTCCTGCTTTTGGAAGGATGAGAAGAGACAAGCCCACCAGAGGACCCTGCTGTGATCTGATAGAAGGCGATTTCAGAGATTTCTCACAGCACACCAACTGAACACCTTTGGAAAGGCAGTGAAGTGTCACCCATCCCAGCCTTCTTCCTAAACACATGGTGTCTCCAAACGGCCATGATTCAGCAGCTCTTCTGTTCCTTTCTCCCTGGAGACTGAGGAGGTGATGGGACTTCTCTTCACTGGCCTGTAAAGAGGCAGGCATCCTTCATGGAGTGGGTTGATGCTACCACTTTCATCTCAGTAGGGTTCAGTACTGTCCCGCAAGTGTTTTTATTGTGTTCTGTGATGCTTCCATTTTTCTCTAGAATCTAAATGCCACTGCTGAGGGTGCACCTGCAATGTTTTGCTCAGAAATAGGACAGGACCACTGCAACTGAGGAAAGGTGGAAATGAATTTACATTGGGTTTTTTTTTCCCTTAGTGTTCATATTTACCATAATATTTCTCTTGATTGAAAGCAGAATAGGGACTTCCCCAATGGTCCAGTGACTCTGTGCTCCCAATACAGGGGGCCCAGGTTTGATCCTTGGTCAGGGAACTATTAATGGATCCCACATGCTACAACTAAGACCCGGCATGGCCAGATACATTTTTAAAATATATTTTAAAAAATTAAAAAGCAAGGTAGAATCACTAATTTCATCAAACATTAGTTTTATAAAGTCTGAAATATGTGAACTGTTTTCTATGGAGAAAGCATTTTCAACAGATTAGTAGGTACTTCAATATAAGGCTAAAATGGTTATTCTGGTAGTTATACCTAAATCAAAAGTGGGATGCTACATTTGTAGGAATGCTAACAACTAAATTTAATTTGATCTGAGCAACATTTCATAAAAAAAGCTTTTAACTATACACTGAGTGTGTTTTTTTTAATGAAAAAAGAAAAAGATTTAATTTATTTCAGTGAGAAAAATGTCATCAGTAGATATTTAGAATATAATTGTCCAAATTATTTCATATGATTCAAGTGTCATTGAATCATGTCACACACAGTTTTTGGTTTTTGAGCAAGGAAGCAAATGTGTACTAGTTCCCTCCTAACCATTAATTTCCTGGCCCTTGGTGAAAAAAAATTGTGTTAGGAGAAAATGATCCTATTGATTGTAATTTATTTAAGTAGCCATGTTTTATTGTGATATATTTTAGGTAATTCATTCTATGCAGAATGAGATATAGCAATAAAACAGTCTTTGTTCATTTGTATTTTATGTTTATGTAATCAATAATACAAATAAACAGGTGTTTTGTTCTTCATAAGAGTGCTTGCCTACTATCCCTTCTAAGGGATGATACTCTTTTATCACTTTAGAAGAAATTATTTTAGGAGAGTAAAGCATTCATTGTGGTGTTATGGTCTGTTTTTTGTTGTTTTTTTTTTATGTCTGTGAGCCATCTGGAAGCCATATTTAAGTGCTTAATGTCCCTGCATTGCATAGTATTTAATGCTTTTATACCTTTTCATCCATGACTCAGGTCATTAACCCAGGAAAAAGTCAGTAGATTAACTGCTGCTTCATCTTCAACCCACGTCTGCAAAATTAGCTCAGCAACATGACTGGGGAGACACCAAGGAGGTGACTCCTGGGTGTTGTGAAATATGTGGATAATAATAAGAAACCTAAATGTTGACTGGAAACATAAATATTAGAATATACCAATTGGTGATGCAAGAAGAACCAGCAGTTTAAAGATCACAGTGTAATCATGGTTCAAGATCATTCCTTAAATGGTCATGTGGATACCTCTGGCTACATTTAAAGCACAAACCCTCTGAACCCAATGGGCAGAAGGTATATGACAAGGTTATTACTGAACATTGAAAGCAGAAAGATTTTTATGAAGTAAAGCAATGAGTTCAATGTTAAGCTTAAGCTCAAGCTTAGAAGAACTCTGAGTTTGTGTGTTTGTACGATGAGGTGCAGACGTTAGGGCAGTTGTGGGGAGGTGGGTCGAGCTCTTGTCAGAAGGTAACAGAGAGCAGGGGTGTTTCAGAGGGTGCCTGACCAGCAGAGCTCCACATCAGACCATATAATGATGTATAAAATTGTACTGTGCTTCGTTCTAGAACCACGTCACATATTGCCAAGAAGGTGTGCCATCTCAGCCACGTTTCAGTTAAGCATGACCGTTCAGGGACACTCATTCCAAACCTGAGGAGTAGCGTGTGGAGAAGTACTGAGTCAACTGAAACTCACACTGCAGATGTTACTATCGAGAATAACTTTCAGTCCCTCGTAAAATATGAGCGTGGGTTGGGTTCCTATTCTTACATGTGTCTAAGGTGGTCTATCGTGGACCCACCCTTTTGAAAGAGTATCTAAGTAGAATTGATGGTGCTGATGCAGGCAGAGAAAGCTTGGCATTCGCCCTTCCCTGAGCAAGGAAGGGACCCCCCAGGCTGCTCAGGGCACCTGCTGGCAGCATCTGAGCACACACCTGATGATGGGGGAGCGTGGAAGCTAAGGTTTGCCCTGTGTTTGCCTTTCCCCAGGGCACCTGGACGACGATGGATTACCACACGGCTTCTGCACAGTCACCTACTCCTCCACGGACAGATTCGAGGGCAACTTCATTCACGGAGAAAAGAATGGACGGGGCAAGTTCTTCTTCTTTGATGGCAGGTAGCACTCACGGTTTTGTTTTGTTTTTGTTTGGGGGGTAGGAGGTGGGTACCAAATTATTTGGAAGAATGATATGAATGAGAGAATTTCAGTATTTTAGTACAACTTTTAGAAAAGGTCAGGGTAAGCCCCACATGCATGTACTGCTTTGGGTACCAGGGAATTCACCCCCTGTTACAGAACTCAAGTGGCCTGTACAGAGTAAAGCCAATCTGCTGACCCCAGGTGGTGGTGAGGAAAGTGTTTGGTGCAGGGCACCATGCAAGGAGTACAGGGCACCTACTGCTGCCTGTTACACTCCTGTACGGGTTTCAGGAAAGTGTTTTTAAAGACAAGGTAAGGGCAGGGCATCCCAGGATATGTAATGAGCTTGTGTACAATTCTGTGATAGTGAGGTAACGGGCGGCGTAACAGGGGTTAGCTTTACCAACCCAGAGGCGCCAGTGAGTCTGGGGGCTACGCACTCATGGTCATCAAGTGGTCAATTTCTTCCATTTGGTGAGGGATTTAGCATCTGTAAGTCAACCTGGGAAATGTGCATCAGATACTGTTACCTAGGTACTTCAGAGAGGAGCTACAGCAGAGGCTATGGGGGAGGGGTCTGTCCCGGGAAGATCCCGTAGGGTCCCGCTTGGTTACCTCGCCCCCACCATGGCTATGGCCTGAGACTCAGCTCTGCCGTCATCACCTCCGAGGGTGTACTTGTCAAAGACACCCTCTGCCGTGCCAGATTCAGGGGCCCCCGTCATGCACAAGTTGGTGGGTCTTTGATGGATTTCACCTGCTTGTTCAGGTAATGTGTCTCCATAAAGTTACACAATTGGGGATCGTTCTTCGTCAGGGACCAGTGTGTGCAATCCCAGTAGTGACTGATCCACGCTCTTCTTCGAGTGTAATGCACACTTACTGCATTGCATTCAGCCCATTCTCAGACATCATGGTCCAGTTTCTTGATTTCCTGAAAGAAGCTTCAGCCACCCCATTGTTTCTTCACCTTCATCATTTTCTCAGCGTATTCTCTCTCCTCCTGAGATTAGTCAAGAGAATATTTAGCAGAGGCCTTCAAAGCCCCATCATCACGGTTCACGCAGTAAGACCGGTGAACATAGCTGGGGATCCAGACCCAGTGTTGTAAATGCTTGTCTTTGGGGTGACTAGATATTGCATGTGATACTTAATGCTGACGTTGTAATAGTGTTTCCTATGTTCTCCCTCTAGTTAAAATATTTTTCACAGCAGGATTCTTTTACTTTGCTTTCACCTCCTGTATGAGAACACCATGAGGCAGAAGTTCTTCACCTTCCTGAGATACGTGGGAATAGCTAGGACTCTTCTCTTTCAAAAGAGATGGGTTACACAGGTCCAGCTTGCGAGTAGTGACTTTTAAGCCATGTCATTCTCAGAAATGAGGAGTGGCTGGGTGAATTTCTCCAGCAATTAGAGGAATTCAGAGGCATGGAAGAACCGGCTCTTTTCATGCCACTTGACTGAGTAATACAGAAATGGATTTTTTTTGGCTGCATGTAGGATCTTAGTTCTCTGAACAGGGATCCAACCCATGCCCCCCTGAGTGGAAGCACAGAGCCCTAACCACTGGACTTCCAGGGAAGACCCCAGAAATAGATTTAGCTAAAGCAGATTATAGAATTCTGTGGGACAAGATGCTGAAAGCTCAGCTTCTCTGTATACCAGTGCTGAATCAAATCTCGGAGACAGAGTTTTGGGTGAGCTAGAAAAGAGTAGCTTCATTGCTTTGCCAGGCAGAAGGGAACACAGCGGGCTAATGCCCTCAAAACCAAGTGTCCCGGCTTGGGGAAGACAGTGACAAGTTTTATAGTAATTGTTCAAAGAGGGCGTGACCAACTCATGGACATTCTTCTGGTGGGTTAGTGGTGAGATAAATAGGAGTCCACATGGTCAACCTTCAGGTCCAACTGGTCTGGGGTCTCCATGCTTGTGGGCAGCATACCGTCATTAATCGCTAACTTCTCCCACCTGGAGGGGTGTTCAGTCTCTGCAGAATGGCTCAAAGATATTGTCTGTCACCTGTATCTGTTGATGGGAAAATAGGACTTTGCCCCAAGGCTGCTCTGGACTGTTTCTCCCTGGTCTTGTATCCCCTCCCTTCCCTAATTAACAACTGCTTGAATCTGCCCCTTGGAACTCAGGGGAGGTCATGGAGGCTGAATGAAGGTTGTTGTCTGGAATCAAAGAAATGGGGGCACAGAAAGGCCTTTTGCCCAGGAGCCCCACAGGGTCCCGCTCAGTATCAGACATAGCACCACTTGCTAAATTCTTGACATTGGTAATAAGCTGAAACTTCTACAAACCTTGGAATTCCTCAGGAGAGAAATTGTCTAAGCTGATAGCTGAAGGGGATCACAGACACTGGCTTGTGACCCAGCATCCCATTCCTTTTCTGTAGGTGGAGTGAGTTGCTTTTTAAAAAAAATGTTAATACGTCTTCAGGCTCTCAATTATTTGAAATAAGGAGGGGTAAGGAAAGCAATAAAAGCCTCAGAGAACTTTTGTAAACTTTTAATTCCAACCTTCTCTTTCCCATTGTCCCCAGCCCCACACTCAACCTCATTTTAGCAGAAACTGGCTTCCAAACTATTCATGTTAATCAGTATTCTACTTCCTTTTTCCTGCACTGGTGGATACCCAAGGTCTGTAGTGGCCTCTTGCTGGGTTTGGTATCAGTGCTTTCCTCTCTCACAACCCCTTTAAGCCATCCAGAGGGAGATTTTTCCTGCCTCGTTGCCACAAGAGTTTATTTACAACTCTTTTTTGGAAAGTGTCACTATTTATCTCATGCAGCTATTCTTTTATTCATTCAACAAATATATATCTATATAAATGTCTTATTTCCAAGGACTTCCCTGGCAGTCCAGTGGTTAAGACTCCTCACTTCCAATGCACAGGGTGCGGGTTGAATCCCTGGTTGGGGTACTGAGATCCCACAAGCAGCAAGGTGCAGCCAGAAATAAGTCTCTCCCCTACAGAAGTGAGGTTTCCTTGAGGGCAAAATCTGTGTCTGTTTCATCTTCTGTGCCTCATAACACTTTCTCTTAATTTGGTACTAAAAAAAGTTCTTGCTGAGTGGGGATGGGAGATGAAAAAGAGGGTAGAATTCTCAGACACATAGACACACACACACAAGTGTTTAAAGAGTGCTTTAAATCTCTTAGTTTGAAGGTCATACCTAATTAATTGATTGACTCTGGGAAAACAGTCCACAGGTTTGGTTGAATTTAGTGTTGGTTATGGGCTTGCTTTGGGCTTCCCAGGTGTCTCAGTGGTAAAGACTCCACCTGCCGACACAGGAGACTTGGGTTTGATCCCTGGGTCAAGAAGATCCACTGCAGTAGGCAATGGCAACCTGCTTCAGTATTTTTGCCTGGAGAATCCCATAGACAGAGGAGCTTGATGGGCCGCAGTCCATGGGGTCACAAAGAGTCTGACATGACAGAGTGACTGAGCGCATGGGCTTGTTCTGTACTCAAGAGTTAGGCTAAGTTTCCCACCCATGTGCCAGGAATGAGGCCTGGGGTGCCGAGGGGGACCTTGAGTCTTCCAAACACATCCCTCCTGTCAAGCTAGTCACGTCCAGCTCTGACCAGCTTCCTCCAGTTCCTCCAGCATGCCTCACGCTGCGATCTGCCTGTGGGTCAAGACCAGGGCAAACTGAAGCACCAGGTAAGGCTGAAGCATTAGGTCAGTAACCATCTAAGGAACAGAAAGAAATTCACTTTTTTCTTTTTTTCTTTTGGGGGCACAAATTCATTGGTTTTTATACCTACCACTCAAACACCTGAAGAGACTTAGGGCCAATGGGAGTCTCAAAGAATGATGGTATTAGCAAGCACCTGAAAAGCTCACCCTTGTTAGCCTTGTGCATGTGGCAGGTAATCCCCTGAGGGGAGAAGATCAGTCTCACTGCCTTTGTGACATGGGATGACAGTGTGGTGACAGGTTCTTAAAAGGTCGTAATCACCTTCTTTCTTAAGCCCAATAAGGATCATGTTGTGAGACATCTACTAAAAGGATTTGTGAAAGAATAGGTTGATGGTCACGGTAGGGGAGGGAAAGGGTGGGATGACTTGAGAGAGGAGTCCTGCAACATACATTACCGTACGTGAAGTGGCTAGTAGCTGGGAGTTTGCTGTGTGATCCAGGGAACTGAAAGCTGGTGCTATGTGATGACTTGGAGCGGGCGACGGGGAGGGAAGTGGGTGGGCATTTTAGGAGACAACTGGAGGCGCGTATGTAAGCCTATGACTGACTCATGTTAATGTATGGCGGATACCATCCCAATATTGTACTAATAGAGTAATTATTCTCCAGTTAAAAGTAAATTAAAAAAAAAAAAGAATTTGTGGAAAAATTAGTGAGTCTTATGACTGAAATAAAATGCTGTGGAATCTATTAGATCTAACAGGGAGGTGCAGGAAGTGGTCATAGAGAAGTCAGTTTCTGCATGAAGCAGCACCTTAGTTTACATTGCTTTATTAATTTTTCTCCCTATTACTGCTTCCAATTTTCAGGGTCTGATGTATTGAGTAAAATGAAGTGGGCATTCAGGGTTTTTACTACCCGTCAGGAGTCTTTAGTCTGGAAAAATTCCTCCAAAAAGGGTGGAATTAAGGTTTTGAAATAACCATTGAGGAAACAAAAGGTTTCTGATAAAGGTTTTTAAAGTTGTGCGAACCTGTAGTACTAGCTTATGTTACCAATCAAGGCTTTGTTTGCAGTTACAGGAGCCTGTGTTTGGAAAATTCCAGGGTAGTGACAGAAGACTTGGCTTGATGCATTTTTAATCTTATATAAAACCTGAACCTGGTTGTATGATTTTTTTTTTAACTTGAGGCATGATTCATATACAAAAATCTGTACATGTTTAATGTACACAACTTGAATTTGGCATGGTCTGCATCCATGAAACCATCACCACAATCTGTGCCGTAGACTGGGTGTGTGATTTATGAGAAGGTTTCAAG